CTGCTTTTACACACATTTGCAAAAATATTTTCTGGGATACAACAGTTGAGACATTGGTTGGGTGAAAGTCCACTTCCCACTTTGCATAAAGCTCTCTTCCGTCTACTGCCATGACATCTCTGAACTGTCCTTTCTGCTTGTTCACAGGTCAGATTATTCACTCGTTATCTATAACATCATCTCATACACAGCTGCAAGGTTGTTTTTGGAAACCTCTATTATCTTAAAGCTGAACTCCAGTAAAAAATACTTTAAGGGGCTACAGTACTAGTCACATATGTTACCTCTAATAAGGAATCTCCTGTGTCCTGCTGTCTGCTGTTTACAGAAGAAACATCCCTTCAGTGATGTTGAATACCCCATAGTTATGAACTTCCACCACTGCAGGTATAAGTGATGCAGCTGAGACTATAAAGGGATTGCACTGTTCGCCCACCCCTTCCGGTCCCTTCACAAAACTTCTTGTATTATTTTCTCAGAATGCAGGCCTTCTATGAATGGCAGAGTTTATTCACAGAACTCCTTGCATTTTTGGAAAGTAATACAATAATATAAGAGTTTTACAGTTGTCGAGTATCCAGTGTAGGGATGTTTTCTCCAGTGACCAGAAGCTAGCAGGCCCATGGAGATTCTTCATTAGAGGTAACCTATATGATCAGTGCTGTCCAGCTTTACATTTTTTTTCCCTAGGCTACCCCTCATTTCTAAAGATGGTTAAACAATCACTCAGGAGCCAACACTAAAACTGCATGTTCCTCTCTCTTGTCATTAATGTATTAACAACTCCCAATGCTTTCTGTGCTGCCATCTCTCTTAAAGTATAAACCCACAAACAAGCAGAAACAAAATAGCTTTTTTGCACAAATAGCTTTCTATTTTTCGGCTAAGGGCATTTTGTGGAGAAAAATACTCGATGATCCTGCCAGAAATGCATTGTCATTGTAGCTTCTGGTACACTGAAATAATAACTCAAGCAAGGCTATAAGCCATCTTATTTCTCTTCTGCTAACTGCTACAGTTCACCCCCCTATGTTATGGAGATGAGGAGAGGTGGTCCATATCAGGAGAGCAGCTGAGGGAGGCAAACCTGCTCTTTCATAGATACAGTGCAGTACAGTGCAGTGTGTGGGTGTTGTCACCCTATGACACGAAGTGTGTTACTGGCAGGATCACCAGATGAAAATAAATGGGGAAAAAATGCCTGAAAAAATGCAGCCACCACATCTAAGGACTAGTGAACTGTAATGTATTGCAATATTGTTCTTAGGTTTAGATACCCTTTAATTGTATGTAAAATTCCCCATGAACAGTGAATTCTGACATACTCTATGCATACTTTGTGAACTCTATCTGTTCACAGCAGAAGTTAGGTGAGATCATCACCTCTCCTAGATCTGCTATGACATCCTAGTTTTTACTATGAACATATAATACTGTACTAACTATGAATTAACAACACTAACTGCAACATGACAATATTCTTCACACAACCCTCATAGTATTGACTGTCACAGCCCTTAACTCACAGCAAAAATGATGGCACTTAGTTATAAATGTATGTGCACCTACAATGTTCCTCTTTGTCCCCCTGCAAAGTCCCACAAATATCTGTTGATCCTCCTAGTGAAGTCCACCTAATGCAGCTTCTTATAATGGTGTGACAAGGATGCTGCACTGCTCCTCAATTCAGAGAGTTGTTACTCTCATGTAAGCTGCATCTCCTTATACTACAGTGGTGTGAGAAAATATTGCAGGGGGACTGGCTATGGGCCTGTAGCTTGTCACTCAGCACCTGGCCACACCTAGTCCTGTCCACTGCTTTCACCGTCTCTGTGAAACCCTCCAACTGTAAGCTGCAGTGTCTGGGTGGGGGAGTATGTGAGACACAAATGAAAAAGGATATGGCTCAGTCAGGGAAGCTAAGAGAAGAGGCTTGTACATCCCATAGTAACTACACTTGTTTAGTGCCTTTGTACTTTAAACATTTTCATACTGATTATGACATGGAAATACTTATAATACCACTCAGTACGCAGCACAAACTCTCAATATGTCACAACATACTGTATGTATCATATTAAATGTTATACTTTCTTTTCTTCTGTCACTCCAAGGAACCCATCTCAAGTAACTGTAGTATTGGGAGCTCATTCTCTTAGTAGTAATGAAGAATCCAGACAAACCTTTAGGATCTCACAAGTTTTTGAAAATGGCTTCAATCCTCAAACACTGCAGAATGACATACTTATTTTGAGAGTGAGTAATATGGCAGTTAAAGTAAAGTGTGATGAAATACTGTAATGGCAATCACTCTTCTAAAAAAAGCGACTACAGATTTAAATGTCTCCTTATTTTTTCTTCAGCTTGACAGGGCCGCATCTCTGAATTCCAGAGTGAATGTAGTAAATCTACCCCGTGTGAACGAGACAGTCCCAGCTGGGACACAATGTGTGACTTCTGGATGGGGAAGGCTGGGAACTCAGGCAAGGATTCCGGAACTTCTGCAGGAGCTCAATGTCACTGTGACTAGCGGAGACTTGTGCCGTCCAAACAACATCTGCACTGGAGTATTCATGAGACAGGCGGGAATATGCTTTGTGAGTAATAGCTAACAGTTGATAGTAGTCCTCATGGAATCTAAGCATTGCCTGAAACAAGGAGCCTAATTTGTCTGCAGACCATATGCAACCCACAGTAGTATTTAATAAAATAGTGACCTTGATTAAAGTTTTATGCAACTATATTGACTGTAAACCTGTCACAACCTGGGAAAAATGCTATCTGATACTGTTTATTTTAGGAACCAAAAATTACCCAGATTTCAACGATTCAATATGGTTCTCTTTAGTAGAACTGGAAAGGAGAGGTGTCTGCAAGAAAAGGAAAAGTGTGTGTTTTGGCTGCACTAATCACCAGATTCTAGCTGTCCTTTTTTAATACTCATTTTTAGAAACTTATTATCGAATGATTGCATTCACACTTTTGTTATACATGTTACATACATGTTGAATAGGTTGCTATTCCCCCTGCCAGTGCGGCAAAAAGACTGCTTCTTTGAGACAGCAAAGGGATGCTGTAGCGCAGGTGCATTTTCTTTGTACATTGAGGTGCATGTTGAGGTTCAGTGCGTTACTGCAGTGCAATACTGTGGGCTACACAGATGATTAACTAGAGGCTGTCATTGCTGATCACTTCATCTAAAAATGCTAGTTGCCTGAGTTTCATACTGATCCAATGGCTTTAATACTTTCAAAGGAAAATGATTATGCAGATCAAGGGTTCTAACCTTACTTAGGCTTTCTAATTTGCATGGTTTTTCCAGCTCAATGACTAATATTTAAGTCAGAGCCAGACAGTCAAATAGTGTTTTCAAAAGGAGGTTAGCAATAACTTTTATATTTTAATCAGTTCAGGATTTTTATTTAATGTTCTACAATTCAGCCTTTTTTAGGAGAACAACAGGACAAGGTACAAAGAGCAGTAACCTAAACATTACCGATAAAAGGTGTAATGCTATGGGTTACAGCACAGGACTGAAAATCATTGATCTGTGCAGTGCCATATTAAGGTTATGAAAGATCAGATGAAACCACTTCAGTGTGACTGTGAGGTGAAATGTGTGTTTGGGTTCCAAGTGCACTTTAGCAAAATCAAACTCCAACCCCCTCCCCTAGCATCTGCAGCAAAAGTAAATTGCACCTTATGCCTCAAGTAACAAGAAAAAAAGACTTTCTTTCCTGTTGAACCTCTCAAGTGCTGCTAAAATGTTTTCAACACTTGGCTTTGGTATTTGAATACACCTCAATCACCTTGGTGATTATGCAAACAAACTATCAGCTTCGTCTTGCTCATGCGCAGGATTAAGTCATATACACTGAGTGGCCAGATTATTATGACCACCCCATCAGTACTTCGTTGGGCCACGAGATAACTCCACGAGATGACTTCGTTGGGCCGCCTCGTGACTCCACGAGATGTTGAAAGGTGATGCGAGGAATCTGACACTGCACTGTTGCCCTTCTGTTGTCTTGTACCATTCTTGCCACTCTCCGTTCTGCCCTAACATTGCCTAGTCGCTGACGGCCACTATTCGCACGTTCCGACCCAGATTTTCGGCTGACACTCCAGTCTTTAAACACTTTAACAATGAGCCCCTCTTGAACATTTAACGAATTCTGCTGTTTTGCTCGTACTCGCTCCATGGCTCGCACCAACAATCATCCCACGCTCAAAGGCTGTTAAATCGCGTTGTTTACCCGTATCTTCAGAACAAAATCACTTCTACTGTCGTGGTAAACAACCTGCTTCCCTATTTATAATGGTTTGGCCCTGTAGCAACTTCAGCGCAAAATTATAGCTAATTATAGCTAATTTGCCTACAAATGTCAGGTGGTCATAAAAATCTGGCCACTCAGTGTATAAGTTATACTCTGCTGGTCCAGTTGCAGGCTAAGCAGTTTCTTGAGATACCTTTCTGCTGAAGAGGTCATGGGTGGCTGGTGGGAAATGTTTAAAATGTTTATGTTTTTTAATCATCCCTAAAATAACTAGGTCTTGTGTCTAAAAGTGAAAGGAAAAGTTGATGTATTTCCCATAACAAATAATTGGATCATGATTTTATTGTGCACTAGACAAATAGCAACTGAAATATGAGTTGTTAACAAGGGAGAGTTTGTGCTATTGTTAGTATACTGATTCTAATGCTGGGTATACACGATTAGAATTCCAAACAAAATCAATTTCAGAACATTTGTTCAACTTTCTAATCATTGATGGGGACAAATTGATGACCAAATTCAACTGTAGTGATAAAAAAAAATTTGAAGGAGCACGTTGGAAATTTGTTCTCGATCAAACTAAATTTTATTAGTGAATGTGATTTTCGTTCGGGAAACTACATTCATTCCAACATTGAATGTTAAATGGAAACAAAAATCAAAGGAAATTTCGAACGACAGTCGCCAAGTCCCTGATGGCATTATTGAATGTTCCACTAAGATTTTTTGTACTAACGTTTGTTAGAAAATCTACCCGTGTATACCTCTCCCTACAGAGCTTCAGAGTGCCTTGTGTGGCTATGTTGTCTTATCTTAGGATTCTAGGTCTAGAGAATCAACTTTGGCAGGTTAGGGCAGTTGACAGGGCAGGAAGTAGTACATGCCAATGAATTCTGCAGCCCCAAGAGGTGCTGACACTTTATACCTGCTTGCAAAAGTGACATAGTAAATAGAGTAAAAACGTGTCTAAAACCAAAAACAAAAATATTTGGTCCATTTTTGGTCTGTTAAATATTCCATTGAAAGTATTTTGTTTTATCTGCTTATTAAAGTGACATTAAAGGCAAACATTTTTTCCCTCCCCAAAGGTAATTAAAGGACTTACCTTAAATTATGTTTCTTAATCCGATCCAGCGCTGACTCCGCTGAGCTTGCTGGCACTTCCTGTCCCTGTCCTGCATCCCATGTGGGTGCACGCGTCCATAGACTTACCTTGTGTCTCTCCTCGTCTCCCATCCGAAAATCCGAACTGCGCAAGATGCTTCTGCGGCCGCCCGAGAATTTTCAGATTTTCGGACGGGAGCACGCGGTGAAGACACAGGTGAGTTTAAACCTTCTGAGCTGATAACTTCTTGTGCTCTCTGTCTTTGACGACTCTTATCAATGACATTGTCCTCAGCTATCTCTGACAACTACAGAACCACACCCCTCTATATCATGTAGAAAGAAGAAGAAGGGCAGGGTTCCATGGTCTTATCTTGTTTCTGTTGTCCAGATACAGTATACCAAATAAGTGTTATCATGCTACCCAAATATTTTACTGGCAGAATCACCAGGTGAAAATGAAGTAAAACAAGTTTGAATAAAAGAAAACTAATATACCTCATCTAAGGACTGGTAAGCTGCAGTATATTACCATTTTTGTTTTTGGATTTAGATATGCTTTACATTTCTACTTTATTTCAAAGTTGGGAAAAATAATAGTCAAAGGTTTACAAATTTAATAACACTAATTAACCATATTTTTGCTGCAATTTTGTTTCCTGTTAGTTTATTTACTTTCTTACACAGAAAATCAACTATGTTTCTCAATTTTCTTTTTCAGGGCGACTCTGGTGGTCCACTTGTATGCAATGGGGTGATTCAGGGAATTTCATCTTTTATAATCCGGAGCTGCGGAAGTGGAGTGGCTCCTGATTTCTTTGCACGAGTTGCACTGTTTCGAGATTTCATTGATGGTGCTATCAACAGATGACCAAGCGGAATAAACCTTATGCATTTATAGCCTTCTAGAATACATTTGTGCTGGTGGATATATCAATAATGCTTACATGCCTCCTTCTATTTCGCTAACTGCTCAAATGAATTTTCAAATAAACTTTTGAAATGTTTCATGTTTGTGTAGCACTGACTGACTCACCATATAGATTGGGCTGATTTGACCTGAGTTACTAGCTCAAGCCACCTATCATGGCTAGCATGAAGGGATAGCTTTCTTTGTTGGATAGATCTTGTTGCTGGATTTTTTAAGCGGTATAAAACGTTAGTGGGTCAATCAGCTGATCAGCTTTTGCCTGTACATAAAGCATTTTATAAAGATGTTTTGGATAAACATTTAGAGCAGGGGTCTCAACCTTAGGCCCTCCAGCTGTGATGGAACTACAAATCCCATGAGGCATTGCAAGATTCCCCCAGCCACAGACATGACTCCCGAAGAGAGATGCATCATGGGATTTGTAGTTTCACCACAGCTGGAGGGCCGGAGGTTTGAGACCCCTGATTTAGAGGTTTATTCACTATGGAGCTGAAGGATTCAGCCGTAGCTTCAGCTGATCCTTTGGCTTGCTTTGGACAGCTCCGCCCAGTTGTTATTGATTGGCTGCCCAATTCTTTTTTATTTTGCCGGCATCTGTCAGATTTGACATTATGGGGCGGGAGTTCGTCGCGTGTTGTCGGGTAGGGGTATGTCGTTTGTTTTTTTCCATTATTTAGATATTTTTTTTACTTATTTATTTTTCTATAAAATATTATTTTTTTTTTTAAATTCCTATTTTTTTACATGAGAATAGGGGCTAACGGCAGCGAGTGAGCTGCCAGAGCTTTGGCTCTCCAGATGTTGGATCGACTGAGTCGAATTCCTTCTGCTCAGCTGAACATGCAGAGAATGTTCGGCTGACCAAAGGCAGGCCATGTACGGCTGGATTTTAGCCGATGTACGGCTGAAATCAGCCATACAAGGCTGAAGTGAATAGCCGAACAGCGTTCGGCTCAATTCACTTCGGCTCGGTTATTCACTCGGCTGCCTTCGGCAGCTAAGTAAATAACCCCCTTAGTCTCTGTAATGGATTTATAAAAAAAAGTGTGTTGCACTGATAAATTATTGATGAAATAAAATGTTGAGCAGTATTTGTGATCACCCCCACCACCACCACCACCATGTATTACCAGGACAAGGATCACAAGGAGTTTTGCCTGCCATACAACCTGTTGGTTAAACCTGGTTTCCTGTTTACAGCCAAGAATGTATAATTGCTCACGCTAATGTTATATCTGATTAACCTAAAGTCCATTATATATGTGTGTACATTTTAATGACTTGCTGGCTTTTTAATATTTTTTGTGGACTCTTTTATGGAACTGAGTCCTACAAATTCAAAATTCCCTCCACAGGAAACTCTCCTGGCTGCAAAGGAATTCCTCACTGCTATAAGTTTTCTCTGAAGTCCTGTGATATTTCCTGTTCTCACAGAACTCCAGGCAGTAACAAATTGGCTGATTTCACTCTGCTGATCCAGCTACCTTCACATGAATAAACACATAGCTGCAAAGTAACATGTATACACTGCTATGGGAATTTTCACTCAGGATAGAGGCTTGTTGTTTACAAGTACTGGTAAAAAGGTCAGCTCCAACCAACTTACTACAGCTCCTCCAACTCACTAAGCATCTTCTTTAACTACTTTAGCTCTCATACATTTATTCCTCTTGTGGACCAGAGCAGTTTCATACTTCCACTATGGCTCTGATTATTCAGTAATAACTTTGTTATAATTTCAGATCATTATTCATAGTTAGATAGTTAGATAGTATTTGAGGTTGAATAAAGGCACAGGTCTATCAAGTTCAACCTTTGTGTGTATGTGTGTGACTCTGCATGTGTATGCGTGTATACGAGTCCCTGTGTGATCTTGTTTTCAAGAGTACCTGTACCCCTGAATGTTACGGTCTCTGAGGAAGGTGTCTAAATGCTTCAATACTCTCAGCTGATACCACTGCTTGTGGCAGCGAGTTCCAGACTTTATTTGCTCTAACTGAAAAGAAGCCCCTACGCCCCTTGTGGTTAAATCTTTTCTCCACCAATTTTAGGTGGTGGCCTCTAGTCTTTGTTGCTGAGTTTACAGTAAAATGTTTATTGCTGATGTTGCCATCACCACTATTTCGTACATCTTGTACATCAAAATCATGTACCCTTAATCTCCTCACTTCTAGCATGAACAAGTTTAAATTTAGCAACCTTGTCTCATAGCTGTGGTCCCCCAGTCCCTTAATTAGTTTTGTTGCCCTTCTCTGTACTCTCTCCAGCTCAAGGACATTCTTTCTGTGGATTGGTGACCAAAACTGGACAGCATACTCCAGATGAGGCCGAACCAGTGGTCAATAAAGTGGCAAAATTATTGCTTTCTCTCTACAGTATATTGCCTTTTTAATACAAGACAGTACTCTACTAGCTTTGTTTGCGGCAGCCTGTCATTGCATGCTATTATTCAGTCTGCGGTCTACTATGACCTCCAAATTTTTCCATTTCTTACTTTCCTAGTGGAGTACCCATTAATATCTATTCCGCTTGCCTATTTTTAACCTCAAAGTGCATTTATCAACATTAAGCCTCATCTGCCCTATAGCTGCCCACTCCCCTGTTTTATCCAGTTCCTCCTGTAATGTTATGATGTCTAAGTCCGTGTCTATTCCACTTCTGATTTTAGTATCATCCTTTTTTTTGGCTTTCTTTCAGAAATGTATAAAAATTATTTTAAAAAACTTTGCGCCAGAAACAAGTGACCTAGGCTACGAGCACTAATCCAACAAATGAAGGAATAACTCAAAAGAGTTTTAAGAGTACTGCTTAGACTCAACATTTCTAAATGTTTCCTATAACATAGTAAATCTTGACTTTTTTAGCTAAGTTCCAGTTCAAGGCAAAAAAACCTTTCTCAAAAACAAGCATATGATATATATGTATCTTCTCCTTTTTATATGGATAAATAACATTTTAAGAATGTGTTGTACAAAAATGCATTGTACAGGAATCTGTACACAAGGCTGAATACTTGTCACCTCTGATCATTCAGCCTTCCTTCGAATGAAAGACCTCATACCATGTAATGCACAGCAAATAGGAAAATAGCTGCTTCCACCATAGCCAGGCTAATCTTACCTTCCCTGTGCTCCCCCATGGATAGTTTGTATCATGCACTTGTCCATGGGTGTGCCGCTATACTAGTAAATAAAAAAACAAAAACAAACTAGTATAGCGGTCATCCCCCACTGATAATTTGTACCGTACGTCTATGGATGGGATGCTATACCAGCAAATAACAAGGTAGAACTGAAATAAATGCCTGGGGGTAGAGGAACATGCCAGTCAGTGGAATCTGTACTATAATATACTTTACATATATCCGGCTGCAGAGATGAGGGATTTCGATTTCCCCAGCAGGGGCACTGTCTGCCGTGAGAAAGGAAGGGGTGTTAGTTTTTACTTTGACCAAACTCTAAAATTATAGTTATAATCTTAGAAAGCACATATGCACTGAATGGAAAAAAGGGAAACACTTTCAAAAACCTCTTGTTATGCTCTAATGTTTATTTATCTCCACTCTTTTGATGAGATTACAGGCACAATTAAAAAAGCTACATGTGGGCAGCATGAGAAGATGGGAGTAAAAAAACTTAAGGTAGGGATAGTGATGAAAGAGAGTATAATGGGGGCACAGGTCTTACACACAAAAAGAGTCCTTAGCATAGAAAGAGGAGAGAGAAGTGGAAGATGGGTACAGGTGGGAAGGGAGAGCACCTGTGGCTAGGGAGCAGTTATAGTGTAGGTTACAGAATAGATGACACTGGCGGAAAGTCACAAGGTAGATGGGCTCAACATGATCTCTGTATCTCCCTAGTGACACTGTTATTACACGGAGGAAGTAAGGATCCAGATGGTACACAGGGAATTGCTCTGCTGTGCTTTGGTTATGTATAGGATAGATGGAATAAGTAAGACTACATAGGACCGAGACTTTTCTACAAGTCAAGATTAGGCCCCACCCAGTCCTCATGCTGAGGTCCTACTGCCCATTGAGGTTTAGCCAATTGACAGCTGAATTTCAGGGGTGCGCTTCATCAATCCCCTCAAATCGCTGCACTCATAACCAGATGGTCTAGAGTACATTTAGCTGAGACATGTATACCCAATGCACCCACAAAACCAAGTGCCACTGCACAGTTTGGGGAAGCTGGAGAAGATCAAAGGACAGCTGTAGTAGAGTAAAGGACATTGAAAAGGAGACTGAGAGGGAGGTGTGGGACTCAAAGTTGTGAGGGGAAAGTGTCAGGATGGAGCTCACGGACCAGGAGTGAGTGTAATAAGGCTCATAAGTGTCAGAAAAGAAGTGTGTTTAGGTGCAGGGCGGAGTGATCTCCTCCAAACATCTGCATGTTGTTACAAGCTAATGCTTCTCTTCTCCTGCTCCTCCGTGGCATCACCATTTTCAATTGCATACATCATCAGTGGCCAGCTTTATATTCTTTGCATTTTTGCAGCTGACCCAACTGATAATGTCAGCACCAGATCTATGTAGAAAACGTTTACCTGCAAGAGTTCCATGAAATGGTGACATAGCCTTCCAAAGGTTCAGGTGTGAGGCCCTGGCTATGTCACCAGTGCCTCAATCAACCAAGAAGTAAGATTTATTAGAAATGTAAGTGTAGCCTCTATATAGATGAATATATGTGCTACTGTGTAGATCGGTATTTCTGACTGCAAACAGTTAATTGCCTCTGTGTGTAAAGAGAGGCGTAGATTTATGGGGATTGCAGTGCAGAGCAGATATGGATACATTGCTAAAAGGACCCGGAGAACTGCAACTCCCAGGATACTGTGCGAGAAGGAGTGTGTGGTCACCCTTGATAGACAGAGACACACAGGCTCTGTGCTGCCGTGCTTGAGAGACAGTTGTTCACCTGTGGAGACGAAGAGACGGAGATCGTGCGC